ATGTTACAAGGAGACTTCTTAGAATGCTGGCAAGAACAGGAGGCCAAACAGGAACAGTTGTTTGTAAACAAAGGGATAGGAGACCACATTGCCTCAGTGTCTGACTTTGGGACTTTTTATTACATAATTGATTAAAATGACAAGTCCCATGTCCTGTAAGCTTGGAGTGGGTTTTACTCTTTGCCTAGGAAGAAGCCATGCATTTAGCTCTGCACCCCAGACAGAGTTATTGAACTAGTCCTGAACAGTCTCACTGGGAGCGCCTCCTGCTGCAGCTCTGCAGTCTTTCACTGAAGAAACTCAGAACACGGTGAAAGTTAAGTCAGAAAAGTGTGTGCAGCTCTGCAAACAAAAAGGAAAAATCCAGGTTTATGTGCCCTGTTGCTAATACCAAAGAATTTGTCACTTTACAAAGAAAGTTGAACTCAATTCCTTTAAAGTTGGGGTGTAGTGTGAGCATTCAACATCAACTTCATTCCCAGAGTATTCCATCTTAACTCCTCACCTGTATAAGCAGCTTACAAGGTTAGATTTTTTAAAGAGGGTTAAATATTCAAGTGTAGTGGTGGGGAAGCAGCACCCATTTCCTCCAATTTCCTTGTAACCACAGCTTCGTGAGTTCAGTGGCTTTTAAAAAAACGCAGCGTTTCTTACTCTGAATTACCATAACCAAAAAGGCCACTGGGCAGCCACTGATGGTTCTAAGTCAGAGCAGAAAGAAGGAAACAATTATTTAGGGTCAGAAGAACGTTCAGTGATTACCTGGACCAACCTCACTTTGCAGACGAGAAGACGGAGGCCAGGAAGACACATCTCAGCAGAGTGAGGGGAATGAAATGCCACTTCCAGACCACAGGCCTGCACTCAGATGCTGATTCTGAAATACGAAAGAAACAGGCGGCCAAATGCCTGTGGACTGAGAGAAACACAGGTGGGCAAAATGTGTCCTTGGACAAGATATTGGGACCCCAGTAGATCTCTTTGACCTCTTTCCTTATCTGTATGGTCAGCTGAGTATTGCCTGCCCTGTCCACCAACAGTTTTGGTTGGGAGATCAGATGAGAAATGCCTATGAAGCTTCCCTAAATGTTGAATCACGTCATAATGATAATAAGCCTGGTTTATTGAACACTTAGCACATTTCAGTCATGTGCTAAGCATCATTTCATTAACACAGCACATTAGGAGGCAAAAAAGACATGACCTTCATTGTAAGGGGAAGGTAAGACTTTGGTAAAGTGGTTCATCCATGATCTTACAGCTGTGAACCAGGTCTAGCTGATCCTCATACTTGAGCATTTAATTATCAATAATACTATACCAATATTATCAATAATACTATGTAACTATTCTATTAATAATACTATATCAATAATACTATATCTATACTATACCAATAGTATCAATATAATAGTAATATATATACTAATAAAAAGGTAATATGCTAATCAAACTGGGTCAACTGGCCATCTTCCGGACATCCAACTTCCTTACGGACAAAGCCATAGTGTTGGGGGCTGAGGCAGAAGGAGTTAAGGGCAAGATCAAGCTGGCAGGGGGTTAGAGGTGAGATTAGGCTGGTAGGGGATTAGGGACAATCAGGCCAGCAGGGGAGGGCAGTTGGGGGTGGCCAAGACAGCAGGGGAGGACAGTTGGGGGTGACCAGGCCTGCAGGGGAGGGCAGTTGGGGGAAACCAGGCTGGCAGGGAAGGGCCATTAGGGGTGGCCAGGCCAGCAGGGGAGGGAAGTTGGGGTATTAGGCAGGCAGGGAGGTGAGTGGTTAGGAGCCAGTGATCCTGGATTGCGAGAGGGATGTCCAACTGCCGGTTTAGGCCCGATCCCTGTGGGACATCCCCTGAGGGGTCCCAGATTGGAGAGAGTGCAGGCTGGGCTGAGGGACACTCCCCCCCTGCACAAATTTCATGCACTGGGCCTCTGGGAATACTATAATACTATAATATTATATAATAATATAATACCATATAGTCTGTACTACTATAGCACACTAGTACTTATTATATAGGTACTATGTTACTATTGTATAATACATAGTACATGTTACAATCCACATAATAATATCCTATATAATAAAAGGCTAATATGCAAATCAACCAGTCACTATGACATGCACTGACCACCAGAGGGCAGACACTCAATGCAAGAGGTGCCCCCTGGTGGTCAGTGCACTCCCACAGGGGGAGTGCTGCTCAGCCAGAAGTCCAGAAGCCAGGCTCACAGCTAGCAAGTGCATCAGCAATGGCAGGGGGCCTCTCCCGCCTTTGCATCAGTGCTAAGGGTGTCTGACTGACAGCAGTTGGACATCCCCCAAGGGCTCCTGGACTACAAGAGGGCACAGGCCAGGCTGAGGGCCCTTCCCCGCTGATGGCACTCCCCCCCGCCCCCCGCGCCACCCCCCAAGTGCACGAATCTCGTGCACCAGGCTTCTAGTAATAATGTAAGAATGGTATAGTAATTCCACCACAGGAGATGCCAGGGTCAGTGGTAATAATTGACATTGCATAGATATTTAGCCAAAGAGCACTATGTTATGACCAGAATTTCCTTTGAACAAACCCTGTTGTTTATTTAAAGAGACATTTATATTATATGAACTACATCATAACAACAAAACATTTTTAGCATTTTCCTAATTTTTTTTACAAGTACTTGAAACAAGGATTAGCCTTTAATCTTTTTCAAGGATATAGTCACATTGATTTTTAACAAATTGTAGTCCCCCTGTCCTTTTAAAGAATGAATTAGTGAGAAAATAGTTTACCCCAAGTAAGGTTTTATAATTTATTTTTTGTATCTAGTATGGGTTTTTCTAAAATATTTTTCTTGCATGCTAATGTATAATTTTAAAAGATTAACTCTTAAAGTATGAATTAAGTAAATTCAGCTTACAGTCTCTATGGTAAACATGATTTGAAATTCAAATACTCCATAAATATTGGGCCCCATCTGCAACAACAGTTCAACATCTGGACAATTCACTGAAATAAGCACTCTCCTCACAGAATACGATCAGTCTGTTTCAGGTAGATATTCAGTTAACTGCCTTCCTATTTGTTTTCACTTTTTAACTAGTTGTGATATTTGAAGATAAATGTCTAGTCTTTTACTGAAGAAAACTTTGATTTTCTCAAGTGTATAGAGACGGGGTCAACTTTTACTGGTAAAAACTTTTGTCACTTTTGTTTTAATTATGAGTAGATAGAGAAGTCTTTGGTGAGCCCGGGCAGTGAGTCCCTATTTGCTCCATCCAGGTCCCCTGGGATAATAAGGACATCAGAAGCTTTAGTGATTGAAATATAATATTGTTTGTACTCACCTCACCATTAAAAAAAATCACCTACAGTAGGTCAATATGACAAAGAAGGAAACCAGAAGATGGCGTTGAAGATTAGCAATCACAAGAGATAGACTGGTAAGGTCTCAGAAAGTTTTATACAGTGTCTGTTGTTTTGAACTTGTAAAAGTGGATGGGTGGAAAAGTGCTGAAACTAACTGAACCCAAGCAGAGTGCACATGCATGAAAGTGTGAAAGCTCTAGTTTACCATTTTTGTTCTCAGCCATCTCCTTCTGTCTGTTGCTTGTGAGCACTTTGGGGGGAAAAAAAACAGTTCACTGACTACAGTGTAAGGCAGCATGATGGCAGCCTCCTTCGCCTTGTTTACTGAAATATCCCAAGTTCCTGGAATAGTTCCTCACAAGTAGTAGGTGCTCAAAACATATTTGTTGAATGAATGAATCTGTGACAGGATGAGAAAGGAAGAACATGTTATGACCAGAATTTCCTTTGAGCAAACCTTGTTTATTACAGAGACTCTGATCATGGAAAATTTACTTGGGTGAATAAAATATGTCATCCTGTTAATTTCTGAGAAAGTTCATTAGTGTTAGGAAAAGTGTACCTAATCTATGTCTGACTGCCTATTTTATTCTAGACTAGACTTAGTGTTTTCTTTGGGTAGGAGACATTGACCCATCATAGGAAATTAAAAGAAAAACTGAGAAGTAAGTGAAATCAAAAGCTTTCAAAAGTTGCCAGTTGACCTGGGGTGATAGTGGTCTAAAATCATATAGAAACTGGTGATCTGACGGTTTACCTGAAATTGTTAAGTAAATAAACATGCTCAGAGTATCAAAAATGCTGTGGTGAAAGTTTAGTGGACAGGTGTTCAGGCAATTAATTTTGATATTAAGAACATCTTGGAAAATTAAGTAAAATTATTCCTATTCTGGACATTTATACTCCACTACTAAGTTGCTTTCTACCAGGTTGAGGTTAAAACTGTCATTTTTCAAATTTATTTATTTATTTATTTGAGAGATTTATTGTTCCACCTATTTATGCATTCATTGTAGATTCTTGTATGTGCCAGGATGGGGGATGGAACCTGCAACCTTAGGGATGACACTGGAACCAACTGAGCAAAGACCTGAAGTTCAGAAGCAAGTAAGCACTTGGATACTTCAGGATCCCTCTCTCAACTCTCATGCAGCCATAATTAAATCCTTGGGGGCTACGCATTGTCTATCATTTCAAACATGCAGACTGTATTTGAACCACAGTTTATAGCTCAGGGGATCTGGGCCGGTTCCCTTTTTTCTTTTTAATGAGTACGCCTGTCTCTAAACACCGCAGAGGGGCAGAGTTCTCAAATACAGCGGCAGGGCCAAGGATGCCCCCACCCACCCACAGTTCTTCATCGCGGACAATTCCTCCGTCTTTGGTTACTCTGCAAGTGAAGTCCCCTTCGCACCAAAT